GCTTGACAGGAAACAAAAGTGTTTTTATTAAGTATAAACAGTAGAATTTAAATGGTTGCAAGTGAAAACAGAAAGATCAAAGTAAGTTAAAGAAAAATGCATGGCTTGTTCTAATACACTAAAACTTATTGCAAATAGTTGTTTACTTAAAGAACTGAACTTCTCCTAGCCATAATCTTCAGGTGGAAGGCCCTTTTTCCCTGACCCAGATCCCCAGACCTCTTTTTTGGTGTACCATGCCAGCCAAAGACCAAGGAGCTAGATAAATTCATGAAGGTTATGTCCATAAAAGGCTATTAGCCAGGGGGTAAGGAATGGTGTCCCTGGCCTCTGTTTGTCAAAGGCTGGAGAGGGATGGCAGGAGACAAACTGCTTGATCATTGTCTTCGGTTCACCCCCTCTGGGGCACCTGACACTGGCCACTCTCGACAGACAGGACACTGAAACAGATGGACCTTTGGTCTGACCCAGTATGGACAGACTTCCCCCCGGGGTGGAAATCCTTTATTCTCCATTCCTCCTTCCATGGATCAAAATGGAATCCCAGTACATGTCACATGTCTTCCTAGAACTCACAACTGCTTAGACTTAAGAGACAAACAAGGCTGTTCATAAGTCGTTAAGTTGATCATCTCGTTGTTAAAGCTTTAGGAGCACCATTAATGGCTCTCATTAGCACATTTAAAGCGATGAACAAATCTCATACTTCATATTTCTAATTTTACATACAAGAACGATACATGCACCAAAATAAGAGACTGATGCAACAGATTGTAACAAAATTGATAATTATATGTATAACATATTCATAAGCCATTTTCACAAAGCATATGGGGGAACTATCACAGCAACAAAGATTTCCCTATCCATATACTGACTTTCCTCTGTTCATGGTGATATATTAAAATGCCACTAATAGAATATGTCATTAGTGCAGGAAAAGTTTAGGTCTAACATTAGTAGCTTTTGAATACTTCCCAAATAATGACTCATAAAAGTTAGGGAAATGCATACGAGTTTCTAGTGTCCATTTAAAAAAAAAAAATCAGATCCTGCATTTATAAGCCAGAGTTAAAATTTTTAAAGTTTGATTCTGTTCCAGTTGACTTCAATGATAGCAAAAGCAGGCCATAACAGACTGACATGCTCTGTATATCATTCCTTAATGTAATTAGGACATTATTTTTGGTGTGTAAGCAATTTCCCCACTTATCCTTGCACTGCATCACAAGATGGATAGTGTGACAGAGCACATAATCAGAATTTTAGTTTCCATACCATGTCTGACAGGAGACATATGATTAAGAGGAACTGACACTGAACTGACACTATCTAGTAATTCTGGAAGTGATCTACTGTGTTTTTTATTGTCTCACTAATGTTTCTATTTGAACAATAAGTATGTAAATCAATGAGCGAGGTTTTGGTTTTCAGTTTACTGATTATACCTTCCTTATTAAACTCTTAGGAGAGAGTAAGTACAACCACTGTTGTGTATGCATGAATATACAGTATATTCTTGCTCAAACAATTAAATGTCATGTGTTTGCCATTAATGAGATTTCATAAATGTCAACAACTGGAGGTCTAAGTGTTGCTTTGTGGTTTTTAAGGAACCGAATAATTGTTCTTCACAGGTTAACAGAAAGACAAGGTCTTTCCTTCACAAAAGGTCTAATTTTGGATATCATGAGCCAGACTTCCATGTATATGTAAGTTCCATTTGTAATGCTTCAGAAATACAAAGGGGGAAGGCTACAGCTGTAAGGCAGGAGGGGACTCAAGAGCTAAAGGTATGGGGTAGCCAAGCTCATACCAACTGATCCTGGTCCTCCAGCATAGAGGACATTTGTGGATGGGAAAGGGCTGCATCAGGAGTGGAGCCTGAACACAATATGCTCTGATGAGCCTGGTTGGCAGAGTGGCTCTTTGGGAGGTTTAGTCTGCCAGCATACGTTGAAGCAACACAGAAGCTGTTCTGACACAACTGGTGGAATTGGTGCATATAGGATAACAAGCAGCAGGAAGCGGATGGGGAGAAGAGAAACAGGCTACACAGCAATGAGATTATTGTTTTAATTGCTGTAAAATAACAATCAGTGATTACTCAATAGTGGAAATATTAACGGTGATACTACTACTATCAGATCAGACATGCTGGCACACCAGCTTTAAAAAGCTAAGCTGCATTAAATGGAATACATTTTTTAAGGACTATGTACACCAACACACTGGAAATAGTGAATGGTGTTCACATAATACAGTATTGGTTAGACCAGCATGAATTCACACAACACTATTTAGAATAGTTGCTATGTCTTTCTGTGCAGGAAAAGTGGTTTTTGTTTGGTTAAGTGAAAAATCTGTACTCCTCTCTTGCAATGGTAGCAACTATGTTAGTTTGGAAAACAGTGTATTATACTGTAGATTACAAATATGATGGCTAACTTAATGAACGCTGCATCAAATGCTTATTAAA